ATGTAACTATTTTGACCACAAAGAAGGATAAAATGCTGCCATGGGAAATAGATAAATAAGTTAATCCTCCACTTTTAAATGCATTTTTACATTATACTAATGTAATCAATCCAAAGGTCAAGAGAAAAAGCAGATTGAGTAATAAGACAAATCCTGTAGGAATTTCCTTTTATCAGGTAAGATCTTGAGTCATGTAAACATTCCTTTAAACTTCATTGATGAAGTGAAACTACTGTAGTTGAAACTGAAGTTATCCATTAACTAAAATGTTGGATAAATGGTCATATAACTGTAGTAATATTAGTAAAGGTAAAGTTTAAACACAAATGACAACTGTCAAAATATTTATCTTCAGACATTTAACGTGACAATTCTGTCATCCTTTTATTGTTCCAAGCCTGTTTTTAGTTTGACTTATTAAAGTAAGTTATTTTAAATAAAGCTGGAAACCTTTAAATATTGACTTCCATAGTAGGAAAAAGAAATACTTAGGAAGTCAATGGTTACAGGTTTTTTAGCTTTCCTCAGAATTTTTCCTTTAGTGGTCAAGAAATTAAAGAAACTCAAAGATTTTGATGCTTGAGGGAGTTATTTGTGAGCATATTTCATTTTTGAGCGAACTATCCCTTTAATACAAACCATTCTTATTGATGAAGTAAAGATATATAATTGTATGAAAAATAAATAATGAAAAGCAGAAATTTTCACATTTGAAGTATTTGTTTTTCCTACTATGAAAGTCAAGGGTTGTCATGTTTTCAGCTTTCTTCAGAACATCTTCTTTAGTGGTAAAATAAAGAAACTTAAAAATTTGGACACTTGAGGGAGAGCAAATAGGGAGCAAGTGAATTATCCCTTTAACGCAAACAATTCTTAGCAATGAAGTAAAAATATATAATTGTAATAAAATAAATATTGAAAAGTAGAAAGTTTCACATTTGAAGTATTTGTTTTTTTTCTACTATGAAAGTCAGTGGTTGACGATTACAGCTTTCGTCACAATATTTCCTTAAGTGGTCAAGACAATAAGTAAACTCAAAGACTCGAACACTTGAGGAAGTGTTAATTGTGAGCATATTTTAATTTTAAAGTAAACCATCCATTTAATGCAAACCATTCTTATTAATGAAGTCAAATATATAATGTGTAACATAACGGTTTGTTTAACGTAACGTTATACGTTTACATGTAACTTCATGGTTTGTGTAACGTTTTAGTATTGAGGTAAAGTTGGTTTTATATTCGCATATTCATTTGACAACCTTTGATATGCTTACTGTATTGTTTACCATGGTACTTTGAATATTTGGTTTGAAATTACAAGGATGTCTTCAAAACAACATTACTATATATTTGATTGTGGACAATGTTGTAGGCTTCTAATATGATTACACTATTTAAAATGTTACTTTTCTGAAATTATATTATTAAGGACAAAGTTCGAATGCATAAATAAAAAACCTACCTCAATAGTTATAGTATGTGTTTATGGGTAACGTTATGGTTGAAGCTGAACTTTAATACTTACTAGTTTGGGACAGTTGCTTTTTTTTGAGCTCATCTACAAGCAATTAAACATCCCGTTTATGTTTGTGTGTAACATTATGTTTATTTTAACGTAATGTAATATGTTTATGTGTACCTTTATAGTTTGTGTAACATTATGGTATTGAGGTAAAGTTGGTTTTCTAGTCGCACATTCGACTAGTGACAACTGGTGACATGCTTACTGTATTGTTTACCATGACACTTATAGATATTCGGTAAGAAATTACAAGTATGACTTCAAAACAACATTACCGCTATATATATTTTACTGTGGACGATGTTGTACTAGTTTGATAGATATTAAGAATTTAGATTACTTTTCTAAAAATTGTATTATTATGGAGAAACTCTGAACGTGTGAATATACAGTAAAACTAACTTTACCTCAATAGTTTATGTGTAACGTTATGGTTGAAGTTGAGTTTTAACACTTACTAGTTTTGGCCAGTTGCTTTTTCGAGCTCATCTACATGCAATAAAACATCCCTACATGTTTGTTTATGTTTCTGTGCAACATTATGGTTTGTTTAACGCGATGTTACTGTATATGTTTAAATGTAAGTTTATAGTTTGTGTAATGTTATGGTTTTGAGGTAAAGTTTTATTGTGGCACATTCATTTAGTGACAACCGGTGTCATGCTCGCTGTATTGTTTACCATGATACTTTGAATAATTGAGCTTAAATTACAAGTATGACTATATATTTGTGGACAAAGTTGTAGTTTAGTCATTGGCTGCTAATATGATTCCTCTATTTAGAATTAAGATTACTTTTCTGAAATTGTATTATTACGGACAAAGTTCGAATGTGTGAACATACAGTAAAACCAACTTTACCTCATTATAGTGCATGTTTTAGTGTAACATTATGGTTGAAGTTGAGTTTTAACACTTACTACTGTAGTTTTCGAGCTCGTATACATGCAATAAAACATCCCTACATGTTTGTTTATGTTTGTGTGTAACATTATGGTTTGTTTACCGTGATGTTATATGTTTACATGTAAGGTTATAGTTTGTGTAACGTCATGGTTTTGAGGTAAAGTTGGTTTTATTGTGGCACGTTCATTTAGTGACATGCTCACTGTATTGTTTACCATGGTACTTTGAATATTTGGTCTGAAATCAGATGTAAATAAGTCTTCAAAACAACATTAGCACTATTTATTTGACTGTAAACAATGTTTTAGTTAGATAGTCATTGGCTGCTAATATGATTTCACTATTTAGAGTTTGCAAAGAATACTTCTCTGAAAAGATATCATTAAGGAGAAAGTCAGAATGTGTAAATATAAAACAAACTTTACCTCAGTAAGTTTTTCCTTTAAGATGTTTTGACATTTAACGTGATGCCCCTATGCAATCAAACATCACTGTTTGTTTATGTTTGTGTGTAACATTATAGTTTGTGTAACGTTATGTTATTGAGGTAAAGTTGATTTTATAGTCGCACATTCATTAAGTGACAACTTAAGACATACTTTCTGTATTGTTTACTATGGTAACTACTCTGAATATTCGGTCTGAAATTACAAGGATGTCTTCAAAACAACACTTGCACTAACTTATATATTTGATTATGGACAATGTTGTAGGCTGCTAATATAATTTTACTATTTAAAATGTTACTTTTCTGTAATAATATTAAGGAGAAAGTTTGAATATGTGAATATAAATCCAGCTTTACCTCAATAGTTACTATGTTTTTGTGTAACGTTATGGTTGAAGTTGTGTTTTAACACTTACTAGCTTTGGACAGTTGCTTTTTTGAGCTCGTATACATGCAATAAAACATCCCTACATGTTTGTTTATGTTTGTGTGAAACATTATGGCTTGTTTAACGTGATGTTATATGTTTACATGTAAGGTTATAGTTTGTGTAACGTCATGATTTTAAGGTAAAGTTGGTTTTTTGTGGCACATTCATTTAGTGACATGCTCACTGTATTGTTTACCATGGTACTTTGAATATTCTGTCTGAAATCAGATGTAAATATGTCTTCAAAACAACATTAGCACTATTTATTTGACTGTAAACAATGTTTTAGTTAGATAGTCATTGGCTGCTAATATGATTTCACTATTTAGAGTTTGCAAAGAATACTTCTCTGAAAAGATATCATTAAGGAGAAAGTCAGAATGTGTGAATATAGAACAAACTTTACCTCAGTAAGACAGCATTTCATTTTTTTTCCTTTAGGATGTTTTGACATTTAACGCGATGCCCCTATGCAATAAAACATCACTGTTTATGTTTGTGTGTAACATTATAGTTTGTGTAACGTTATGGTATTGAGGTTAAGTTGATTTTATAGTCACACATTCATTAAGTGACAACTTGAGACATACTTTCTGTATTGTTTACTATGGTACTTTGAATATTCGGTCTGAGGATGTCTTCAAAACAACACTTGCACGAACCTATATATTTGATTGTGGACAATGTTGTAGGCTGCTAATGTGATTTTACCATTTAAAATTTTACTTTTCTGTAATAATATTAAGAATAAAGTTCAAATATGTGAATATAAAACCAACTTTACCTCAATAGTTATGTTTATATGTAACGTTATGGTTAAAGTTGAGTTTTAACACTTACTAGCTTTGGCCAGTTGCTTTTTCGAGCTCGTATACATGCAACAAAACATGCCTACATGTTTGTTTATGTTTGTGTGTAACATTATGGTTTGTTTACCGTGATGTTATATGTTTACATGTAAGGTTATAGTTTGTGTAACGTCATGGTTTTGAGGTAAAGTTGGTTTTATTGTGGCACGTTCATTTAGTGACATGCTCACTGTATTGTTTACCACGGTACTTTGAATATTCTGTCTGAAATCAGATGTAAATATGTCTTCAAAAAAACATTAGCACTATTTATTTGACTGTAAACAATGTTTTAGTTTGATAGTCATTGGTTGCTAATATAATTTCACTATTTAGAGTTTGCAAAGAATTCTGAAAAGATATCATTAAGGAGAAAGTCAGAATGTGTAAATATAAAACAAACTTTACCTCAGTAAGTTTTTCCTTTAAGATGTTTTGACAATTAACGTGATGCCCCTATGCAATCAAACATCACTGTTTGTTTATGTTTGTGTGTAACATTATAGTTTGTGTAACGTTATGGTATTGAGGTAAAGTTGATTTTATAGTCGCACGTTCATTAAGTGACAACTTAAGACATACTTTCTGTATTGTTTACTATGGTATTTTGAATATTCGGTCTGAAATTACAAGGATGTCTTCAAAACAACACTTGCACTAACTTATATATTTGATTATGGACAATGTTGTAGGCTGCTAATATAATTTTACTATTTAAAATTTTACTTTTCTGTAATAATTTTAAGGAGAAAGTTCGAATATGTGAATATAAATCCAGCTTTACCTCAATAGTTATTATGTTTTTGTGTAACGTTATGGTTGAAGTTGTGTTTTAACACTTACTAGCTTAGGACAGTTGCTTTTTTGAGCCACCAAGTCGTCGAAATTAAATCCAGGAAGATTTCCAAAGGAAAACTGGTTTATTTAAGAAGATATTCCAGTGTTGTTTTCAATGATGAAACAGCGGCTTGTGTTTCTCCACCTGCTGGATCACACGACGACCAACAGCAGGAAAACTTGGGTCGAAGTTTTTCCGTTGACTGGAATTCGTTATGTACAAAACCCAATCCAACAGCAGTGTCAAGAGAAGTTAATTATCCGTTTTTCTGCCCTTCACCATTATGTTTAAATTACACTCACATACACAAATGCGATCCTCGTGCGTCCATTTAACTTGTGGCTCTCCCAAATCTCCGCACTTCAAACGAGAGAGAGAAAAAACAACTTTCAAAATGAGGAGACGCGAACTCTTCGGATAAATTTACACTATTGTGAATGATAAGAAGACTTCTGTATAGTATTTATGGCAGTGACAGATCTTACTGAATGAAGACGGATGAATTAAGCAATCGCCGGTATGTGAAAGTTTGGAGCCCAACACCGTCACCCTTCCCAA